CGGCATTCCGGCCCGGTATATTGTCATTGCCTAAGTCTACCAAACTGGCTCAAATACCTCATCACCAAAAGGTGTCTGTGGCAATGTTAAGCGACAAATAGCTCTGCGGACACAGGAACTTCCTGTCCTCCACCCGAGCCCTTTAAAGGATGCAAATCTTCCCAGGTTTTTCCTTTTTCAAAAATCTGAACTTAGGGGCTTCCCTGGTGGCGCAGGGGTTGAGAATCTGCCTGCCGATGCAGGTGACACGGGTTCGTGCCCCGGTCTGGGAAGATCCCACATGCCGCGGAGCGGCTAGGCCCGTAAGCCACGGCCGCTGAGCCTGCGCGTCCGGAGCCTGTGCTCCGCAACGGGAGAAGCCACAGCAGGGAGAGGCAAAAAAAAAAAAAAAATCTTAAACCAAAAAAAAACACCTCTGAACTTAAAACGTGGCTCACTTCAAGCACCACTCCCACTTCCCTTCCAGCGCACACTTCTGCGGGACCAGTCTCCCCGACGCCAGACGCGGAGACCCCGGGAGGAACCCGCGGCCTGCAGGGCCCGGAGCCGGGAGCGGGGGAATTAAGGGGATGGGGAAAGGAGGGGTAAGGGGTGGAGAGGTGAGGGGAGAGGGAGAAGAAGGGGAGGGCAGGCCCTCGCCGCCCGCGCCTCAAACCACCGCCCCTCCCAGCCGCACCACACACGCGGCGGACGCGTCCACTCCGCCCGGACCTCGCTAGAGGGGTCCTGGGAGAGGCCGCCGACGCCCGGTTACCGGCGCTCTGGAGTCCGGGAGGGTCGCTGTCCCCTGGGGATCGAGGGCCGAGCGCGCGCCCATCTAGTCGCCCATGGCCGCGCACACGCCGCGGTCCCGCTCCTCCTTCCTGCTCGCGCCGGGAGCTGCGGGCGGCCCTGCGTCAAGCCCCAGCCTCAATAAAGGGCTTTGTGGTGCCGGCCCCGACCGCGAGGAGGCCGGGGCGCCGGGCCCGGACACGCGCCCCGCGGGGTCCCCTCGGGGCGGGGGCTCCTTGTTCCACAGCCGAGGGCTGGCTCACGCTTGACCGGACAAAGCCCACAGCGACAGAAAGGGCTGTAAGCGAGGCCTTTCCCTAAAAACGACGCTTCTGAGTGTGAGGAGGTTGTGTGAAGAGACCTGAGGAGTTGGTTTGTGGGCAGCACTTGCAGAAACGCGCCCGGTTCTGCCGTGCTGACCGTGCGTGAGTCTCACGGGTGCCCTGCAGGAGCGGAAGAGCTGTTAGTGCCCGCGGGCCCCGGTGCGTCAGGGCCGCTTTAAACCCTAAAGCTCGAAACACCTCATGTGTGTTAAGGGCAAAATAGGATCTGAAAATGTGGCCTGATGGACTAGTTTCTGAAGTCACTACACTGTGGTGATTCAGGATGAATCTGTATTTTAGAACGTCAGGTGGTCACCACTTAACATCAAATGAAAATATTAATAGTTTACCTCTTTTGTGTGACGGTTTTGGAGTCAGAACTGGTTTGGAATTCTAGTTCTGCCACTTGCTGACTTTAGATCTTGCCTACGTAAGTTCTCTAAGCCTTAATTTCTTCACTTGTTATAAAACAAGTGTAATATTCTATATCTTACGGGGATGTTGTGAGGTTCAAAGATCGGGCCTGTAAATTCTCTGCCACAGGGTAAGTGCCCAATTATATAATTTTGAGCCTAGTACCAACTTTATGGAATAGGCGAGGGATTACTAATTCCAATTGTAGAGAGGAGGAATGAACTAGAGAGGTTAAAGGACTGCCCAAGGTCAGATAGCTAGTGAGTTACAGGGCCGACTTTTGAAGCTAAATGCAGTACCCTTTCCACCCTGACAAGCTACTTCTGATACTGGCTCCTGCCTAATTAGAGCTGGCTGGTAGTGTTGACCCACCTATAGAGGATACTTTTGTGCCTCCCAGAAACAAGATGAGGACTCCCTTGCTCCTTAACATTTCTGTTCTAGTACCAATGGAAAAGGAGCCGCCAGGAGTGAAAGGGGGTGTTAGTATTGTAACACAAGGAATGGTGAAGCCATTAATGGATTGTGAAATCAAAGCAGTAGATTTTCACCCGAATTTTTTTAATGGATTAACGTAGAATGGCGGGAAGGGGTAATGAGAATACAACATGCAAATAAGTGTTTTTAAGTATCATTTTGTGGAACTTTCATTTCTGTTATACATATGTACTCATACACATACCTGTGTATATGTGAAGTTTCAGTGTAAAATACAGTTCTCTCAGTGGATCTAAAAAGTTTCAAATCCACCATCTAGGATCATTTCATTTTAGAGACAAAACAGAGACCAAGTTGTTAACTGAGGTCACGCCCAGATGGGGCAGAGATAGGCCACCTTACAGCTGAAGTGGCCATGGTTTCGTGGCCTGTTTTCTTTTTATAGAGGAAGAAACGAAGATGCAGGGAGAGAATGTGGTGGGTCCAGGGTCACGCTGAGAGAGATCAGTCTGTGATTTTTCCATTTGGGAAGTCCATTTCCTGTATACATATATTATTCCTGAAAATTGTGTTTAGTTATTTCCTATATGACTCACTTTGAATAAATGTGGTGGAAGTTAGAGAATGACTTCTCAAACTAGCTCATAAAAGGTATTGTGGCTTCCTTCTTGCCCTTTCTCTTAGATCACTAACCCTGGAAGAGGTCGACTGCCATGTCGGGGAGAACACTCAAGTCAGCTTATTGACATGCAAAGGAATCAAGGCCTCTAACCAACAACTGGTGAGGAGCTGAAGCCTCTTGCAACCAACCATGTGAGTGAAACATCTTGGAAGCAGGTCCTCCAAGGCTCAGGCAAGCCTTCAGATGACTAGTCCCAGATGATGTCCTCACTGAAACTTCATGGGAGATCCTAAGCCAGAACCACTTAACTAAGCCACTTCAGGATTCCTGGCCCTGAGAAAAAACAAGATAACAAATGTTCATCATTTTAAGCCACCAACCTTAGGGATATTTGTTACAGAGCAATAGCTAACTAATGTACCATTAAGTATCTTATTGTAAAAGGAATATTTTACATAGAAGAAAATAGCCATATTTTTATAATTGAGATTAATGGTTTGATTCAAATGAACAGTAAAACACATTATGCTTTACTGACATTTACTGGGCAGCTGATTTTACTAAATCTCATCTAGGACCAGTATAGATCCTTAAAAACCATCAGCAGAGAAAATACACTTGACCCTTGAACAACAGGGGTTTGAACTGTGCAGGTCCACTTATATGTGGATTTTTTCAGTAGTAAATACTACAGTACTACATGATCCAAGGATGGATAATCTTTGGATACAGAGGAACCACAGATATGGAGGGCCGACTATAAGTTATACTCAGGTTTTTGACTGTGCAGGGGTCAGTGCCCCTGAGCCCTGCATTGTTCAAGGGTCAACAGTGTATGGTAACCACCACTCCCCCACATGGATTTATAAACAAAAATAACACTAAATCCTATAGAATGTGGAAGGATATCCAATATAGATCTAGTTCTACCCGTACCCCATTATCACTATTTCAGTATTTTCTTTTGAAATATCAAATTATTTCTAAACATCTCTCTCACTGTCTCTCTCTCCCTCTCTGTCTTTCCCTCTCCCTCCCTCCTCCCCTCCCTCCTTTTCTCACTCTGTCTCTATCTCTATCTATGACCTCTCTCCCCCTGTTTTTCTGGTGCCCTACACACATCTTCCTGTTGGATAAGCCTTCACTGATCTCATGTATTCCAGAAAGTTGCCACTTTTCATTTAAACTGGTTAAGAGAATGTTGCTGCCACCTAGTGATAAAATTAAAGTACGAGGAGGACTGTAAAGGAGACAATAATCATAACACAAAAACAATACTAGTGTGATAACATTTACTGTACTTTGGGCACTGTTCTAGGTACTTCGTATACATTGTCTCATTTAATTATCACAACAATAGATGCTATTATTTAGTGATGTAATCTTCCGGTTATTAGAGAAGGAAAAAACAGACCCTTCAAGCAGGTCACAGGATTTGACCCAAGACTATGATTCTGATTTTCTGCTCTCTCTACCGCACTATACATCCTCCCAGGATTGTAATTAGGGCAAAGTGTTAGAGTATATACTTGTAAATATTTTTGAAACTGCCCTTTTCGAACATTCTGTTAATTTCTCATCATATATACAGTATATATGTATCCGTTCTACTTTCAAAGAGCAATGTTCTATTTCTTTTAACTTATTATGTAAATCACAGATGCAACCTACACTTTTTTCATGGCTACACCCAAAACTTCTCTAGGAATGATACCAACTCGAAGACAGTGATAAAGTAATTCATCTTCAAAAACTTTACAATCACCAAAGAACTTAACAGCCCTGAAAACCCTAAATGTTCTCCAGCCTTCTGTACTATCACCTTCCTAATTCTCTCACTTCTCTAGCTACTCCCTCCCGTGTTTCCCTCTTTGTTCCTCTGCTTAAATTGTTTTATGCCTGTAGTTGTGATGCCCTTCTTCCTCTATTTGTTCTACCCCAGTACTCTTAGTGGCTCTACTCTCAGTAATGTAATTATCACTTCTCTTTGGATGAACCCCAAATCTGATCTCTAGCCAGCCTTGCCTTCTTTCTGAATTCATATCTTGCATTTCCACTGGTTTGTGGGAACTTCCTACCTGAATATCCTGTTCAGCTGAAAATTTCAGCATATCCAAAATGT